GGTCTGGGGTCATGTTTAGAAACAAGAGCAGGATAGTGCCTCTGCCTGGTTTGTAGGGATGCTGAAACCTGTCATGGAGAGTGCATGCAGACATAAAGCAAATGGCTGGGATTTGGGGTAAGTGTTTGGGCTTGCTAGGTCTTTTTTAACTTACTTTTCTCCATGACTGTTATCCTTTCAGCCAGGAGGTGGCTCTGGAGCACGCTGTGGAGCTGGGCACAGCTCATTGTGCATAGCCAAAGCGACAGCGAGAATCTGTGTCCATCACCAGCTTGCAGTGGAAGGCAGATGGCCTTCCTTCTAGCTTCCAGACGGGACGCGTGCGTGTCCTCTGACACACATATGCAAAGGCAGCTTCGATGCATTTCCAAATGCTCCTGACATTGTGTGCTCTGATGCAATGTTTAGGAAGTGGGGAACATGCTTCTGGTGCTGGTAACATACGCTTGGCTCAGATTGTCCTTGGGGAGCTGAGGGTGACTCCAAGCACACGTCACACCAGATGTAGCCTGTTCTCAAGAGCTTCTGGCCTGCAGAGAAAGCTGTTGTGTAAAGCAGCCGTTCTGCATGCTCTGAAAGAGTGCAGCGGTCCTTGTGCTCCCCACATCCCCAGGGGAAAGGTACCACAAGGGTGGCAAAGCATTGACAGAAGGAGCACAGAGGAGTGTAACTGCTGTCTAGGAAGGCAGTAGCAGCCCAGGCTTTGGAGTCTGTGCCAAAACTTATGCCTGGAGCATGCAGGGCTGCCAAGTCTAAATGACTCGCACTGCGTCATCCTTGGGCAGCGCTATGCAAAGGAACACTTGACGTCTGCAAAATGCTGACCCTTAGTTGTCCTATTTGTGGAGAGCAGCAGCCCAGGCTTCAACCTCATGTTTGATGAAGCTTTGACTCTGTGGTGTGGCTCCAAGTGACCTCTTCTAAGCAGAAGACTGTTGTCTGGAGGGTAATTGGCAACACATCCACAAACCCCTCTGGAGACAAACGTTGATATATGCACCCAGATTTGCCATCTTCAAATGTCCCTGTGGAAGAAACTTAGAGGAATTAGTCTTGGAAATCTTAATTACTCTGCATTTTGGTGTTTACTGGAGCTCAAAGAGGGACCTTTGCTTGCAGAAACTGAAATTTGCATTTTGAGGAGCAAGAAAGATAGTGAAAGCTCAGCAGGCCAGACTCCTCAAAGGACACTTGAGGCAGTTTTAATCAAGAAACAGGCCTAGAGCTCCTATGGACCAGGACAGAGAATGTGTTCACTTTGTTTCATGGAAATAACATCTAGACTCCACTTGATAGGTCAGATAGAAGAACCAGCAGTCAGTGTCCCTCCACCCATGGGGTGAGAAGAGAGGGGGCCACTACCTGAGGAGTTCTATGGCAAAAGGGAGAAGTGTGTTGTGGCGGATGGGGGGAGGCTTGGAAGCTTGAGGCTGGGCTGTGCCAGCAACAGAGCTGAGCTTTCAAGGATTTTAGAGTTCCCCCTTCCCAAACCTTCTGATTCTAGTGACCTACAAATGTCAAAGCAAATACTGGTACTCGCACAGAAAGCAAGAGCTGTCCCAGTGCTTGGCTGGGCGGGAGGAGATGGGAGACTTTAAGGACATGTCCCTGACACCCAATTAACATGATGGCTGTCCCATCCCCACGGGGCCTGGCCATCCCATGTGGCCCAAAGTGTGGCAGTTCACGGCTCTCAGCATGCTGCAGCCTCCGCTTCTGCATGAGATGCTTCTGGTGCTGTGTGTGCTTGCTCCGAAGGCTTTGTCACCTCTGATGATGGCACAGGGTCAGGACAGTGCCTGGGGAAGCTGCCTGCGCTGACCGAACAAGTGCTTGTTCAGATGGGGACAAGTTGTGCTCAGCATTGCTGTCAGCTGGTTGGGGGAGCTGTGCGGTTTGGCGTCAGCATCCATACCGCCAGCTGCAGCATTAGGCTGCTGCAATTAGCAGCTGATTTGTGTGCCTGCCCTGGTCAGGGGAATGGCCAGAAGTCATTAAGTCTGCATTAGGTGGCTGTCATCAGGAAAACACAAAGCAATCCCTCGAATAGGATGTGTGGATTTGCCTGGGCTTCTTGCAGGAGACAACCTGTAGCAAGCAGAGGAGGGCAGAGCATGCTCGCTTAAACCATGCTGTTATGGGAATGTATAAATACAGATCCAGTGCTGTTATGGAAGCAGTAGTCACACTGCATGCCGACACTGCCCTGCCCAGGAGAAGGTCTGACAAAGCTTTGTCTATCCCCAGTGCCTCAGCTGTGCTGCTGGCAGAGCAGCCCAAACATTTGGTGCCCTTTCTAATGGCTGGGGTGGATGGGAGCCTTGCACTGGCTTTATGAGCTTGAAGATAAGTTCAAAATGATTTGCCTGCTGACCTGCAGAAGGCTGTGGCAGGACCGAGGGCTGCAGCTGAACCTCAGCCTTCTGCCGATCTCCTGTCTGCAGCCTGTCCAGCTTGGCTGGGAGCCAGTGGCTGCAAATAGGCCCTGCTGTGAGCCATGGATTGTTTGCTTTTCATGTCCTATTTCTGGGGGCAAAAGTTGAAGGAAGAGCAGGAGTAAAGGTTTTTTAATTCAACTCTGCAGTCTCTGCTGCGTACTGGCTGAGGTTTGCCAGCATTGCCCAAGAGTGATGCTTTAGTACCGTTGCTCATAGTCTTCAGTCTAGGATAAGACTTCTGAGTACAGACTTACCCCAACCCTATGTCCCTACTTGCTAAATGAGTTGAATCTGGAGTTACAGCTGTTTGGTTTATCGCTGCAGTCTATAAGGTGAGACCCACGTTTGTGGTCTGAGAAAAATGGCACATATTGAACTGAAAAACCAAACTTGTTGCTGTATTTCAAAGTGTGCACTGAAGCCTGTCAGGTTTCTGCTAATGCCTATTGCTTCTATCTGAGCTAGACAGAAAGGGAAGAGATTCCCCAAGCGCCCTGTGAGGTGCAACTGTAATTCAGTCTGGGTTGCTGGATGCAGAGTCCATTGTGGGCTGTTGGAGCAATATGCGCTCTGCTAGGGTTAAATGCTTACATGAAATCAATAGAAGTTTTATTGCCACCACGTGACTTCAGCTGGAACTCTGCCACTTGTAATAGAAGCTGTGTTAGGTCTCCCCCCTCCAACTACAGGACAGATATATTGGTCTAGACAACTGAAAAATAGTGGTATATTGGGAGGCTGCATTTTCATTATGTAAATGGAGCTCTGCAGGAGGATTAATTGATTATTCAGTTACTGTGGATCTGTCTTGGATGTCCTGGCAAGATGAGAGAACCTGATGGAAGCTCTCCAGTGATGCTGTATTGTAGTACAAAGGAGTCCTTGAGCATCACCTCCTCCACTCCAGACAGTGCACAGCACGTGCACGTTGCATATCACTCTCCCAATGGGAGGATCTGCATCCTAGGATGGTGTAGCTGTCCTCATGCCTCACGTCTGGTCTGTGTCACAGCACAGGCAATAGAGGCTTGGTGGGGAAAGCCTGAAGACAGCCTACTGCAGCCTATAGAGTGGTGAGGTGCTGGCATTGCTGCCCAGAGAAGCTGTGGGTGCCCCATCCTTAGAGATGCTCAAGGCCGAGTTGATGGGGCCCTGGGCAGCCTGAGCTGATGGGGAGCAGCCAGCCCATGACAGGGGATTGGAACTGGCTGATCTTTAAGATCCCCTCCAACCTGAGCCATTCTATGATTCTACAGCAGTGCTGTTTGGAGGGTTGCTTACCTATGGATTGGGTGTTGCTGATGGCAGCTGGAGACCTAGCTGAAGGCAAGCTGAAGGAATTGTTTTACTTGGGCCCTGCAGGTGAATGATACAGAAACAAAGAGGGACAAAAATTTGAAGAGGTACTTTGGGGAAAGGAAGGAACCGCAATGTGAACAGGTGAGCAAGCAGGGCTGTCACATCTTTATAACAAGTTATGTCCCTTCTGGCCAGGGTAACACATTATTAACTGCATTGGAAATACCTGTAGTGTCTTCTACGGTAATGAGAAATAGATCTGCACAGTCTGTTGGGTTCAGGTTGCTGGAGGAGGAGAGGACAGCTGTGGTGAGATGGATGCACTCACTTTCTACTGTCCTCTTGCATGGCATATAATTGCTTTATTGTTCTTTGTTTTTGCAGAACCATTTCGGTACTGCTGCCCAGATCAAATTTTGTGGAGATCATTTTAAAATGAATCTTAGCCTTTGGCCTGAAATCCATCACCTGCAGAAACTTTTACAAGCAATCCTGACATCTGGAGAGTGGGTGTGGAAAGGCTGTGATGTTGGTCAAATGAAAATTTAGATTGTGTTTCAAGTGGGAAAGGGCAGATGATGGAACAGAGCATCCCTTGATTTGAGTGGGAAACAACTCTTTGAGAGCAGAAAATGTTCCAGTGCCGAAAGTACTTTTCAGGAAGAAAGCTTTTCTCAGCTTGGGAAGGTCTGATTACACTGGTGAAAGAGGAAAATTTACCTCGGTTTCCAAACCTGTAAAGTAGGGAAAAAATGCCATCCAGCACACTCTTCCAGAAGGTCTACAGACTGTCTTGTGGTCCTGCTGAGAACTTCCTGGAGACCAAAGGCCACAAACGATTTGATGCTCAGAATTCTATGAGAAGAACAGGCAGCCCAGAGATGGGGTTACCATCCCTGGAGGTGTTCCAGACCTGTGGAGATGTGGCACTGAGGGTCAGAAGGCGTGTGGGAATGGGTTGAGGTTGGGCATCGTAGAACTCTTTTCTAGCCTTAATGATTCTATGAATCCATGGTCAACTGCAGTGCAAAAGTTTGCAGACATGAGGTTTGTTTGCACAGATGCATTTGCACGTCCTGTCTCATGGATTCCCGAACAAAGATGTTTATATAGGAAAGGAGAAAAAAAAAGCACTAATGCTTTACTAGGAGAGAGGAAAGTATAATGTATTCTTAAAATGTTTATATGTCAGCAAAATGCCTGCAAACCATTCAATAGATTAATCCTGTAGCTGGCCTAAAAGGAATGGATTTCTAGCCATAACTGAGATTGGGAAAAATTGATTTCCATGTTCTTGTTGACTGAATAAGATAAAAACAACTGCCTTGGTGCTTATTACCTGGCCAAGTATTCAGATCTCTGCTGCTGAGCTGCAGTCGGTTTGAATGCTAGCACCGCTCCAGCCCGATGCTGATGAAAAGGGACTTTGCAGGAACCAAACCTTAAGCCTTTCTCCTGTTGCAAATGGGACTTGCAGCAGAGCATGGCTCCTGAATACGTGGTGGCTCTGTGTAGGCGCCTGGCTGGGTGCTTTGATCTTTCAGCCAGAACCGTCAAGGCACTTCTGATAATCAAAAATGTGGGGAGGGGGGGGAAGGACGTAGGGTCATTTCTCTGCATCAGAGAGCTGCTGCTGGAGATGACGCATGTTTTTGCCACCTGGATTCTGGCTGTTCATTCAAGCTCCTGAACAATGACTTTGGGGTAATGGCTGCTTTTTGGCACTCAGAGTGGTCCAATGCAGCCCGAGTGGGAGGAGGGAGGTAGCAGTTGGCCTGTGCTGTTGGTGAGAGTGCTGTTACCAGCCTTGGATGGTATCGAGCTTGCACCATCCAGTGGACTTCTTTGAAGTTGTTTCCTCTAGATACACAAATCTCCTTTCCAAAGGAGCTGCCTTTTCAGAGAGAATATTTGCTGGTTTCCATGCTAGGCAGCTCTTAGCGTGGGGGGGATTAATAATCATGTGCTATGCTTTGGGTTGGAAATGCTCCTTGTTTCCCCAGCTTCTGTCAAAACACAGTGAAAAATATGAGGGAAAACGTGCTGGCCTGGTCTTTCCAAGTTCTTCCAGGCCAGATGGACTGCCCCATCCCACTGGGTGCTGTACAGGAGAGCTGACCTCAGCTTAGGCAGGGATGTGGGCAGGGTGGCTCTGGTGGGATGTGGCTGGTGATATGTTGTGAAGGAGCTCCTGTGTTTGGGAGAGGAGTGAAGAGATGGCACCTGGGAAGTACTTTGCATCTTATTGTTAACAAATAAGCAGCTAACAGGATTTTTTCATTTAAGCCTTGTGTCCAGTGCACCACTGTGCATTAATCAGACTCCAAACATGACTACAGAATAGGACCCTTCAGCTTGGCCTAATCCTTTTCCCACTTCTGTTTTATTTTACATACAGCTGGAACTGTCTATGAAAGTCAAACCACCCACCTCTTCAAACACTTGGGGCTACAGGTGACCTTCCAGGCTTTGCTGTTACACCATTTCAGGAGCCCTCCTTCCCTCTGGGGCTGCCTCTGCTTGAAAGCAGAGGAGGTAAGCAATACAAACTCAATTTGAGGTCTGGCAGATCCAGACAAACACTGCTTAGATCCTCAGTTTCTCATGCCGTGGATTAGCCCATGTGAAATGGTAAATCCCTGTCCTAAAATTCCTCAGGCAAACTGGGAATCGTGGCAGTTTTCAACTGACTGCAAACAGATCACTTGATAACTCCCCGTATTATTGACATAACTCTAGAAATACGCTGCAAAGTGTAAATAATAAATGTGTAGTATCTGCACTGGAGCAAGTAAACACCGCCTGATGTTGTCTGATATTTCACTGGCAAGGTGTCCTCAGCGATGCTCCAGCAGAATAATTTTCCAAACGAGTGGCTTGCGTGACAGGTGGATGTGCTGAGCTAATGCAGCCACGCACGGAGCTGCTGGATCTGGGAGAGGAGGTGTGGGGCAGCGTGGCTCTTTGCTGGGGCTGCCAACAAGCAGCCCACCATGGGTCCCCTCCTGCAGCTCTGCGGGGAGGTGGGAGAGAGCGCCTGGCAAGTGCAACCTGGGCTTGCTGACATGGGTATGTTGCTAAAAGCTTTTTTTCCTGTGCGGTGGGGATGTATCCGCTTCTGAGGCTGCATGACATGCTGGTTAATAATTCATGCTGGCAGTATTGACTGGTGGGAGCTCATCTGAGGATGCCTCAGTGAAAGCTGCTTGTACGTTTACCCTGGGTGAAGAAGCTGTCTTCCTGCCCAGGTGTTGGGGTCATGCAGCAGGATGATCTCCTGCTGGTGCGTAGCCAAACCCTTTCCAGGCTGGCAAGTATACCAAGTCTGTGCTCCTTGTTACCAGATCGTGCCCCGTTCTGCTTTCTGGGGTGTGACCTGTGGGCTGGAGACCTTAGTCTCCAACTGCCGAAGAATAGCTTCTACTGTAGTTTTATAGCTTGTAGCTGGACCCTTGTACCTCCTGTCCCAGCAGTGAAGTTGGAAGTCCTCTTGCGACAAAATGTTCTCTGGAGTCAAATGCCAGGTCATCTCATCCTTTGCAGTGATCCTTCTGGCATATGATTGGACTAGGTTGTAGGATCATAGAATTATGAAGATTGGAAAAGACCTCTAAGATCACCAAGTCCAACCCCAACCCACCCTCACTGTGTCCAGTGACCACATCTCTCAGTGCCACATCTCCATGGTTCTTGAATACCTCCAGGGATGGTGATCCCACCACCTTCCTGGGCAGCCTGTGCCAGCGCATCACCACTCTCTTCTCTTTTTGAGAAGAATTTTTTCCTAATATCCAACCTGAATACAGTTGGACTGGATGATCTTAGTAGTCTTTTCCAGTCTCTGTGATGCTGTTTTGCTTTGTGTAGGCTCAGGCTGTGTCTTCCCTGGGGGTTGCAACTCCTAGGAGAGCAGAGCTAGGCTGAGCTTGAGTGGCCCATCTGCTGAAGGTCCCATCTGCCAAGTCCCCTTGGTGACCTGGACGACAACATGACACTGGTGAAACTGCATACACTGTGAGGTGGATGTAATTTCCAGACATTGGAAACCCCAGTTAGAATAAGTACAGATGTAAAAGGAATACATGGATTTGAATTCTGTGGTGAATCCTGGGTGGAGGGTGCCACCCCCATGTTGTGTGTTGTGCCTCTTTGACAGAGATTTTCTTCTCTGATTATGGAGACAATAGAAAGCCTCTGAAATTTCCATGGGGGCTGAACATCCTGCATTCACTGTGTGATTACAATAGCAGTCTATGATGTATATACTCATGGGTGGCAGAGGAGAATAGTGATGTGTCCGGGAATCCTTGGGAAACAGTAAATCCTCTCTCACCCAAGATCTGCCTTTTGCCTCTCCTTGTCCTGGTGCACACTGCAACATTGCAGTGATTTTTCCAAATAAGATGTAAAAGTGAGCTGATGGGCTTTTGCAAGCATTAGACCCTGTAGCACTGTTAACAAGAGCAGGGACGTTAACCTTGGAACCCTGCCCAAATTGAAATGGACGTAATCTCTAAATGGGTAATACCAAAATGAAATCCACTTACAAGGGAATGTTTGTTCCTTTCTCCCCTGCAGTGTTGATGTGCTGAGCGCAGAGAGGACAGCAAGATGTGGGTGAGCTGTGGCTATGCAAGATCTTGCAGTGTCCTGACCATCCAGCAGGGCCAGAGCAAGGCCTGGAAAGGCGTTTGCAACTCCAGCTTCTCCAAACGCTTGCTCTGGCTAATGCAAATGTTGCTTTGGAGATGCTGAGAGGGTTTTTTTTTTCCCCCCTCTTAAAAAGAGCATATGTTCTCACTACTAACAAGCAGGTTTGCAAAGAGTCTATTTTTAAGATGATTACAGGGTATCAGTAGCTGTTCCAGTGTCAACTGTCGGTTTTGTTTCCTTGTCGGCAGTAAACTGTTGGCAGGTTTGTGCACCAGAGGTTTACTCCTTCCCAGCTGTAATTGCACAGCGCAGAAATTACCACTTGCTCTGTGCCTGCCTCTGCTGGTTTCTCCCCCTGAGCCTGCTGTTCACAATCAGCTCCACCACACATGTTGTACCCAGTGAAGAGCTGTGTTGTGGCATCTCTTGCTGCCAACACACAAGGCCTGGGTGGCTCTAAGCAGCAGAGATGGAAGGAAAAGTGGCATTTTATATATGTCTACTCGATGTCAGTGCATCCCACTTTGTTCCACAGGGATGGAGCCCAAAACCCAGTTCATTTCCCAGTAACCGGAGCACAGAGGGTAGTTTTTGCAGATGGTTTTCCTCAGTTGCTTGTACCTGTAGCCTAAACTGGGATCTTCGAGGTGCTGAGGAGAGGTGACACAGTGGCTGGTCTTACAGCAGTGTCAGCCTGTGTGTCTATCTGGCAGATAGCTCTGTTTTTCTGCAGCTTGCATCCCCGTTTGACCGGCAGGGAAAACAGCCAACCTTCACAAGGCTTTTCTCTGCGTGGCCATGGAGAGTTTGAAGTCCTCTGTTGCTTTTGTGAAAGAGGATGCGAAGTCCTGCTGTTACAGCAGAAGCTGTTGCTGCAGGGCACTGCAGTGTTAACTCACACCACCCCTTTTGTCCTGCTACAGCACTGCTAAACCAGCAGCGACCTATGGGGGAGGAAGCATATAGGATCCTTTATTGAGAATTAAGGAAATCACATTGTAAACAGTTGCATCCTTTTATTATTATTTTTTTTTTTCAAGAGTCTAAATAGATCTATGCTTTGTGGCTGCAGCTCTGCACACACAGAGGTGACAAGAGCACAGTGTGAAGTTGTCAGCTGTCAGGAAGATGGCTCAGAAGTCCTTTACTCTGCAAGACGTGCTGGTAGGAAATGGCCACTTGGAGCATACTTGTTCCCTTTCATGGTGGGCAGCCTCCATCGCGATGATGCTTGGCTGTGAAGTCTGCTCCCTGTCCTTCGGTGCAAGTCCTTGGCACACCTCTGCATTCAGACTCAGCCTTCTCCCCCTCTCCCCTGCACTGAAAGTTTCCAAGTGCCACTGAACCGATCGGAGAGAAACAATTGTTGTGTTTCCCAGGCTGACACCTCCCGCTGAGCAGCCTTCCCTGCAGGAACGGCAGTCCTCTCGCGTTACTCTGGGGACACAACGCCTCGGTGCTGATGGGACCAGACAGGATCCGTCACTGTGCTGATGTGTCTCCTCCACAAAATATCCTCAATGACACCAGTGTCTGAGAAACAAGGAACAAAGAACAAGCAAACAAAAAATATCTGCTCCCTTTGCTCTCCCTCCGGTCATCCCTGTCATCCGAATCTGGAGAGGGAACCGTGGGCTTCCTCTGTGGAGGAGGGCTTGAGTTTGGGATCTGCTGGGGTTATGGGTTGGCTTTTTGCACGTAGGACGATGGAACCTTACAAGTCAGAGCATTGCTTCTGCTGGACTGTGCTAATGGACCGATCTGTCCCTGTTTAGTTCATTTTTAGTGTACGGGATGCTCTGGTACCACAGTCAGTCCCTTGAAGGAGAGCAAAGAGGAGAAAGTGTAGGGCTCAGTGTTCCTCGTGCTGCAGCATACGGCCACAGAAGAAAAGGCATCAGAAGGACCTTGCCAAGGTCGTTTGAATCTGTCTCTGTGCCCCAAGGCAAGATCAACTCTACCTATGTCTTTTTACACTAATCTGTTTTTAAAGGCCCTTAAGGATAGAGGTTATTCAACCTCTTCCTGGGTTTCAAAGAAGAATAACAGAACAAGCATAAAAAGTGTGCTTCCTCTCCGCCTCAAGGCCTGACCTAAATCTTCCTTTCCAGCCTTGGTGTTCACCCTGTTGTTTGTTTTCTGTAACAGCATCCTGCTTCAAGGTAGCTGCTGTGTTTCACCTCAGCGCTGCTCTTTGACCAACAAGGACCAAGCGGTCCTTTCCTGCACAACACTTGCGATGGATGCGTCACCTCTGGGTTTGCCCTTCCCAAATGGTTAATTTTTATCTTAAAACAAGGTGTCCAAAACCGGAACACTGAACTTATGGTGAAAATTAAATGAGAACCTAAAATGTTGGGCACCTCCATGGAACCAGTTGTTGGCACCTCCAGGGACAGCGACCCACCACCAACTTGGATAGCCTGTGCCAATGCACCACCACTTTTTCTTAGAAGAAACGTTACTTAATAGCCAACCTGAACTACCTCTGATGCGACTTAAAGCCCTTATCTCTTATCCTGTTGTTGGGAAAGGGTGAACTTCCTGACTTGATTCTCCCTTTATTTGAGTTTTGGCAGTTATGAGTCATGTGTTGTCCAAGAATCTCTTCTTGTGTGTGACGCTGTTATTTTGGAAGCTGCCTTGACCGCCATTTTGAGCGGCAGTGTGATGGAAGGACCTGCTTTTGGAGAGAATGGAAGAGAGAGGGCTGAGGCAACCTGCAGAGCATTGCTGCAGGAAATGGTGTGGAGACTACCAAGGACAGGACAAGCAACCCAGGAACAAACAAATTAAGCAAAGACAGCCAGGCTAAAATCTTTCAAGGTTAAGCCTTTCTGGCCTCATAGATCAACCCCAAGCAAGTGATTTTCTTTGGACTTCAGAGAAAGTTTGTGAGGAGCTGGCTGAGGAAAACACAACGTGCCTTCCATTAACCTGGGAACATAAAACATCCAGTTGCCCCAGTCTGAGTGGCTGAAGGCCCGGAACACAGCTTTAAAAATAAATACCTGGTAACTTTAAAAATAAATAACCGGTAATTACGCAATAAGGCCAGTGCTCCCTTCCATGGGGAGGTGGAGCAGGTTGGAAAGGCAGTGTTACCACTGTGATGACAGCAGAGCCTACGATGGAAGCGCTGGGCCTTGTCCCTGGGCAGCCCTGCTTAAGGAAGAAATACATCCACAGGCACCAGTTCTCCTGCCTGCTTCTGGGACTGCTTGCTAGCGATGACATCTCAAATATGTTTTAATAACCAGCGGCTGTTAATAAGCACTAGCTACTCCACCAGCTTAGATGCATCTCTTTAAATTTAAACAGGATTAGATAAGGTAGGGAGATTATTAAATACCCAAATGAACATTAAGCAGATATATTGGAGGCTTAACAACTCTGCAGCAGATTGTTAAATTGCTCTAAATATTTCCCTGCTAGTCTGGGGGTATTTAATTAAAACAACCCCTCTAGTCTTCTGTAATGTGCCTAGCAGGCCTGCAAGCCCCGCGCGGGGCAGGACCCTAATTGGCAGTGTTACTGCAAAGCTGAGCTGTGCTCGAGGACAATTAAAAAAACAGCAGCCCCCTCCCCCCCTCCAACTCCCCACCCCACCCCACAAACCACCCCAAGCCCCTCTAATTAGTGTGAGAAATGACGACAAAACAACTCCGAGTGTCTCCAGTGACAGGTGCACAAATAACAAGGCTGATGAAAGATTTTGCAATTAAGATTGCGCTATGAAGATTAATGGGATATTTTCATAAACTGATGTAAGATTGCCTATAACCCACTTGCCTCCACGTAGCTCTATCTCCTTCTCCCCAGCCATTCCATATCTGGTTTTTCAGTCTTCCCCCCTGCACGAGCTTTCCCTGGTGTGTTTGGATTTTCTTTTCTGGAGCTGTTTTCAGGTTTCTGATGTTTCCAAGCATTTTTCTTCTCTTCGTTGGGCTGGTGTTATCTGAATCTTGAGTTTCTGCTCTATTTAAGCTTCCTGGTGAGTGTCCACATTGACATCTGCGAGGCGTTATGCTATTGCACACAGTCTGCATTATGAAGGGTAGTGGGCAACTTGCAGGTATTTCCTGCCCAGCTCTGGTGCTGCTCATGGTTCTGTGTTGCACAAGGGGACCTATGGCATGCCAAGTCATCTTTCTAGCCTGCTTGTTGAAGATGGTAATATGGCCGCCCCTGTGCTGGACAATTATTCCCCCTTATTTATTTACTTTCTGGTTTCTTTTGGAGCTGCTTAGCTGTTTTCCCAGCAGTGATGGATCACAATCTCAGACGGATCAAGTTTGTGCTGGCTGCATGGAAGTGCATGGCTGGCTACCAAGGGGACACTTCTAGCTCCCTGCAGGGGACGGGCATACACTATGCCATCGACCTTTGAGTGCCCCAAGGATCCAGCTACCAAGTGTACATCTGGCTCCAGCACCATGTGTGCCCATCATTTTCTGAGGTCACACTGCCCCCGTCTCTTCCCAGCAATGTTTCCCTTGAGCATGCCAGGGGTCCCATTCACCCAGAGCAAATGTGATATCATATATTCGATAGGAAAGCATTAAAGTGGTGAAGAGTATACAGAGAGCTGGACCTGACATCCTTACCTCTCAGACCCGCTCCTTTCCCAGAGATGTTTGCCCGCTGCTGCTGTCATTGCTACTTCATTACTCCTAATTGCCTGCTACTCTGGTTATCTCCAAGCCAGGCTATTACACACAGAATTTACATTTTTAATCTAGTGAAAGCAGTGATTGGACACACAGCCTCTGGCCCTGCTTTTCTTTCTCACTCAATTGCTGTGATACGCCAATTGGTGTCTAGCTTTTCAGTCTGCCTGTGCTTACTGGCTACCCCCTCTCTCTGCCTTTACCTTCCAGACCTTGGTCCTTGACCAAAGCCTCAGTGTGTTGTTCTTTGCATCTCTGTTTTTCCCCATCCCTAGCTAAGGCACTGTACCTTCTCTTTTCCTACAGCTTGTGAGGAGGTTTAAATGTGAGTTAGTGCAGCAGCAGCTGCTTGTTTCAGCCGCTTCTCTGTGTGCAGAGGGAGATGCTGTGCACTCCATGCCCTGATGTGCTTTTTATAGGGTTCACGTGAGAAACTTGGTACAGCAGGAGGGTTCCAGCCTCAAAAGGAGAAGGCACTAATTGCTGGTGACACAGAAATGTAGTTTTTCTTGAGCGTGGTATCTGTCTGACAATATTCCATTCACTAAAGCAAACAAGCAAGAATTAGGTCTCTCTGTCTCTTGTCCATGAGCCTTTTTGACTTGATATCTCATTGTTTCTACTTTCCTTTTAATTGCTTGGTTGTTGTCCTATTAGTGTCACCACTTGGCACAACATGGGTTAGAGCTGAAATACTCTGGCTGATGTTACGTAGGATGTCAGCCTGGATAAATGCAGTGGTTCTTCCTGTTCTCACCATTCTCCTTTCCCTCCCCTTTCCCACCATCAAGATGCTGAAAACAGCTGACAAAAAGTGAATGTCAGAGCATCCAGGTGGGAGAGTTGTACCATTGGTCATGGTGCTATGTAGGGTAGGGTTCGGTTGGGTAGGCACCAAGGCTCAAATTTACTTTAGGGATTGAGCTACCGTCCTCAGAACTTGTTTTTTGGCAGTGTTTTGTCTGTCTTTTTGGGCTGGGAATGAAGGTCCTGGGTAACTCCAATCACAGCCTTTCATTCTTGTTTCTAGGCCTGTCGTGTTGCCAAATCCATTGCTGCAGACCTCTTGGTTCCCCAAGAGAAGGGGTAAAGGCTCTTTTTGATCCCACTGCACATCTCTGGGCTCTGCTGACCTCCCGACATGGAGAGCACTGTGAGGAGGAAGAGGACTCAGCACGTGACTAGACTTTGCAGCCAGCTCTGGACCACAAGGTAGGAAATGGCTCTTGCCAAAGGCTGCACAAAAAAATGCTTTCCTGTGCCCTGGAAGAAGCACAGATGGTGCCAACCTGAGGCTGCCAAAGTCCTGTGGTCGTAATCACCTGTGGTTCTGCTGTGACCTCTGTCACTGGTTCCCTCTTTGCCCTGGAGAGCTTAGAGCAATGTGGTTGTGCCTCCTTGCTCTGTAGAGGGGTGGGGTCTGTCCCAATGGACAAGCACTGACCCCTATAACAGCCCCCCCTCCTGTTTGGGCGATGCATGTGACAGAGGTCCTGAGGAGCAAGCAGGATGTGATCCTGCCATTAAAGATGCTTTGAAACAAGCGAATAAATGGATGGGTGGGAATTTGTGTTGCAGGGCAGATTTAATTCCTGCTATTTTATAACCTTGGAGCTTGACTTGTACAGATATGGTTTTACTATCCCCTCCCATCTTAATAGCTATTTTATAAATATTGTTATGAGGAAGTCTTGGTGGTAATGCGAAAGAAAAGCTGTGCTTTGTTTTATCTGAATAGTGCTTGCTTCCAGCTTGGGATAAGGGCTGTAACGCTATAGAAAGAAGCTGAGCTGGAACAAAAGGAAATCTATTCATTAACTTAAATCGTAGTAATTTTAGCATGACCCAAGAGGAGCCTGGTGAATCTAACCCTCTATTTTCCCACATCCATCCTAGCAAGTGCCTTTCTTTCTAGCTGAGATTGGAGAGCTGACTCACTTTCTAGACTAAAATGAAATCTGGGTTGGAATTTTTTCTTTAAGATTAAAGTCAGTGTGGTTACAACAATTACAGCGGAAAGAAAAATGATTGTCATCGTTGATTTTGATGTGTTAAGGCTAAATCTGAGCTGTCCACTTACCAGGTTCCTAGTTATTAGGTGTATTTTTGTTATGCTTTGTTACAGGTCTCTGTAGCTGCTGCTGCCCAACCTGGGTGGGAGTCATTGTGTGATTCCTCCTGATGTTAGTGATTCTCTCCTGGGGTGTGCCCTTGGCTTTTGTAGAGCTGTGCATTTTTGGGGGATGAGGGATCAAACCAGGTGTCCCAAGAACTAAGGAGAGAGGGGGGCAGACAGAAGGGGACCTACTATTGCTAAGGCAGCTCAGAAGTGCTGGCTCCTCATGGTGTGACCAGCCTTACTAAAAGACCCCGGATCTTCTCAAGGGTCAAAGGCAGAGCTCAAGTTCCCTTGGCAGGTTTTACTGTTGTAGGAGCTGTGTTTTTATTTTCCAAGCAGCACAGTGGACAGAAGGAACATTTTGTAAGGATAGAAGAGGGATACTTGGAGGCAGAGGGCTGTGCAGGAGGTTGCAAGTCTCTCTGCCTTTCGCACCTCAGTTTCCCAGTCTATAAACTGGGGGCAGAGAAGCTGATGCTTTACGTAAGAGCTACTGGCGTGCAGTCTTTTGTCCAAGCTCCAAAAAACCTTCTGGATGGCAAAGCACAATGGGAGCACAGACAGCCTCATCACTCAGACGGCGAACTCCTACGTGTGAAAACGTGAGCCAGGAGTTTGACGTAGCTGCTACCCAAATGCTAGCAGGTGACGAGCAGATGGGGCCGCCGGGTGCTTGTCTGAGGTCTGCCTGAGCAGAAGGTGGAAGGGGAGTGGGGATCTGAGTGCTGGGGTTTTTTTGTGTGTGTTGTCAATAGCTGACACGTGCTTCTCACCAAACATGTAAAAATAGAAGCCGTTGGCTTCTGTGGGGACGTGGCACAGCACTGCTTTATCCGGGAGGTTGGATGTCGTGCTTTCTTGGTTACTTATAGGCAGCAGGCAAACCCTGAGAGGACAAGAGATATAGAACATGGGAAACATGTCATGCTGTGATTTTGGGCAACAGTGGTGCCTGTGGGGCTGTGAGGGCCAAGAGCGGGACAGAACAAATATCCCCTATGCCCCCTGGGCACTAATCAGTGCTGATTTAGGCCATGCTCCAAGCGAGTGGAGGGAGAAGCTCTGTCCCAGGTCTTCTCCTAGTGATGCTTCTGTCAATCCTGCAAGGACCAACATGGCAAAGGGAACCTGGCTTCAGAGGGGCTTGCTGTTAGTTTCACACTTGTCCTCTCATTCAGTTACCTTTGGTGTTCCCTTGCTGCAGCTCCATAAAATTCCTGCCATACTCATCCTAGAATCATGGAATCATAGAATCATAGAATGGTTTGGGTTGGAAGAGAGCTCAAAGATCACCTAGTTTCAACCTGCTGCCATGGGCAGGGTTACCACCCAGAAGGTCACGTAGGCTTTGTTGCTATTCCAGTTATCCAGGTGCACAGCAGAATGGGGAACACTGGAGCACACATCACAGTGGAGATGTGTATTATCCAACTTGAAGATGGCTTGAAACTTGAACAGTTGTAATTCCAACCGATTATTACTTAATGGGGGAGGCATTCCGCTCTTCACAGCTGTGTCATATTGGTGGTGGCCCAACCTGAGCTCTGCTGTTCCTGGTGTGGCTGAGAGACTTTGGAGTGTTTTAAGCACAGGCATGGTGCTCACCCTTAAAGGTGTCCTGAACCTTTCAGTGAGAAGGCATTGCAGTAATTTCTTTCTGATCCATATGTGTGACTTGCCTAAGAGACCGTGTGGAATGATGGTTGGACCTGATGATCTTAGTCATCTTTTCCAACCTTAATGATTCTATAGCTCTGTGATTTAAACAGAAGAGAAAAGAGAAGGGGATGCATTTGGAGAAGCGTAAGAAGAGATTTTCAATGGGACAGAACCAGCAAACAGCTAAATTTATGTCTTGTGTTTTGGGAGTGGGGATCCACTTTTCTCGTGGGCAAGATGGTAGGGCAGTGCGTGCACCGGGGATGGCTGGGGGGATTGTCCCTGCTCTGGTCTTCCCAAAGGCATCGGCAACCTCCTTTCCTTCCCTACAGCAGCAAACCATGGCAGTTGGTAAGCTGTAGGGAAATGGATGCCCGCAGATCCCCAGAGCTGTTGCTAATGTGGCAAGGAGAGGGGCTGGCACACCTGATGGTAGCAGGGAGTAGGAGGCGAATGATTACAGTTGAAGAGGTCATATAGCATTGTAATCCCAAAAAGAAACATTATGATTCATCATTCCCGATGTAATGTCATCTGTTTAATAAAGCCGTAATTCACTCTGGGCTTGCTTTTAATGGGGCTATTTAAGTAATGGTGTTGGGTTTTCTCCTTCCCGACCTCCCCCCACACCCATACTAAGTAGGGTTTGGACGGAGCACTCGAAAAGAGCTATTGGAGTTGAAGACTTTTTTAATATTTACAGTATCTTTCAGACCGTAGCCGAATGGGGTATTATTTATGTCAAATCACTACTTTCCCTGAAATATGGGGAGAAGGAAAGCCAACAGCTGGATATGGTAATGAGTAAATAAACCATGTGTCTGTTTAATGATAGGGACATGAATTTGTGCCGCATGGGGAAACGGACGACGATAAGATGTCTTTGACTGGAGCTGACCACAGACCAAGGGCACCCCAAAATTTATGTTACCAGAGGGCTCCCTTGACAGCTTGCTGGGAAGAACGATGCTCTGATGTTTCAGGGGTGGGACAGAGCTGGGTTCAGGGTTGGCTTTGCCGCCTGTTCTCCGTAGGGTGTTGGCCATATGCAGACACAGCGGCATTTTTTACCTCTGCATTGATGGCACAGTGTGCTACTTCCCACACAAACTGTGAGCTGAAGTTGTTGGTTTCAATGGGTGTCTCAAACTCAAGGTCCAGAAGAGGGTTTCTTAAAAGCAGAATCCAATTTTCATTTTGGAAAGCAGTGGTAGCAATGGGTGTGTCTGTGTCACCGGCCCAGAGGGCAAAGATGGAATTGATTTTTCTTATGATACGATTTTTTTTCAGGGTTATTTTTCATATGTTGGCCTCTGCTCCCAGGTAACAGTGAGAGGATGAGAGGGAATGGTTTAAAGATGCACCAGGGGAGGGTTGGGCATTAGGAAAATTTCTTCTCAGTAGGACTTGGCAAGCATTGAAACGGGGACGTGGTGGAGTCACCATCTCTGGAGGCATCCAAGAACCTTGGAGATGTGGCACAGAGAGGCATGGTTAGTGGGCATGGTAGGGAGGGTGGAATGATGGTTGGATAGATTATTTTAGTAGTCTTTTTCAATCTTAATGATTCTATGATGAATTCTACAGTGTAGTAGTCTCTTCTTGACAGTGGCCAAGTGCAGATGTGAGAGCTGGGCATTTATAGAAAGATCCTGCCCACTGTGTCCACCTGGCTTTTAGCAGCCCTTAATGTAGAGACTTCACAGAATAAAGGAGTCTCTTAATGTCAAAAAGAGTTGGCTTTCTGCATAAGAATTATTTAACCTTTTGGATTTGATTTGTATACACTGTGTGTATAGCTTATTGGAAAACCAAGCCATCCTTACCATCTACTATAGTCCTTTTGAAAGAGAGCTCAATCTGAAGCTTGGCACAGCTTCTTTTAAGATGTTTTAATTGTTTAAAGCCCTTAAAAATATTGCACCATTCCACCCAGATTGCTTAGTTGGAAGACGCATGTGAAAGCCAAAAGGATTTTATCAAGAGTGTGCTGTTTCTGTCCAGACTTATTTTATCCAGTTCAGAAAGTGAGGTAATTGCCTTTTAAAAAGTCACAAATTGAAAATAACCGAAAGAGATGCACGGTTCTTGTGGCTAGCTGCACTTTGTGTTTTTCCCTAGACTTTTAAAATAAACAATAGGAATTTTCCAAATAACTCTTCAGTTATCACACCAGTAGCAAGAAAGGAAACAAATAAGGAAACATGGTGGAGAGGGAAAAAAAGAGAGCACCTTAAAATACCCCACTCTTAAGGCAGTTTCTACTTTTGTCCTATCCGGCAGCAATTAATCACAGTGGAATTAGGAGGATGCGGGTGCCAGAGCTCCACGCATTGGAGGCAACCAGGAAAGGCAGGGAGGTGGGAAGGTGGGTCTGGTCTGGGGGGGGCATGGTGGGTCTGGTCTGAGGCCATTGGCCTTCCTGCATGCTCCC